GCAAGGCAAACACCCTACCCACTGTGCTATCGCTCCAGCCCCTCCCCTCTGCTTTTCCTCTTTCTTCTCCAGGACTTACCCAGGCCTTCCTGGAAGTGGCCACATGGTCTGATCATCCCCAGTAAGTATACTTGTTTCCACCCACTCTGCCCTCTGCCCTCTGCTCCCTTGTAGTGGCAACTGGACCCAGACCCTCAGGTTCATCCTCCACAGTTGACACCTGCCCCTTCGAACCCCAGAAGGTCCTTCCAGGCCACCAGGCCACTTTCTGCAGGGAAGCCACCTGTCCATTGTTCCTTCTCTCACTCATGCTCACCGAACTTCAAAATAACAGCTAGGTCCAGGACCAGATCCGGCCACTCCAGGCTCTCCAAGTGGATGGTCTCTGCTCACTCAGAGTCACAAGGGAGGGTCTGTGCTCTCCCCCTCCCCCAGGCCCCTTTCCTCAGCCCTTCAGGTAACCGGGAAATCTGCCTCATGGCTCCAAGACCAGGATTTCTCCTGCCTTACGATACTTTGGGAAAAGCTGACCCTTGTTTGCGGTACCTTTTTTTTTTTTTTTTTTGCTTTTTGGGTCACACCCAGCGATGCAAAGGGGTTTACTCCTGGCTCTGCACTCAGGAATTACTCCTGGCGGTGCCCAGCATATGGGATGCTGGGATTCGAACCCAGGTTGGCCACGTGCAAGGCAAACGCCTTACCCGCTGTGCTATCACTCCAGTCTTTTTTCTTTTTTTTAAAAAAAATTATTCCTGGCTCTGTGGTCAGGGAATCACTCCTGCTGAGGCTCAGGAGAATTCTTGGGGTGCCAGGATTCGAACAGAAAGACAAGCGCTTGACCCGCTCTGCTGTCGTTCTGGCCCAAGCAGAATTTTCCCTCCAGCCCCTGCCAAGCCGCTACCTCTTCTTTCTCTAGAGCTGAACTTCTTTAAAGAAACCTCGCTCCCCCCTACCCCTGCACAGTCCAATTACCCTTTAAGACACCTCATGCTGCCTGAGCTTCTACTTCCAGACACTTTCAGACTTGTCATGAATGGGGACTGGAGAGAGAGTGCAGGGGTGAAGGTGCTGACCCCCGCCCCTTCAGTTCCTGATACCACGGAGGGTTCCCTGAGCCCTGCCAGGAGGGACCCTGGAGTGCAAAGCCAAAAGTAAGCCCTGAGCACCACCCAGAGCGGTGGCCAAAAAAAAAAAAAAAAGATAGTTGCCTCACATGCGGCTGACCCCTAGGGTCCTTCCTCCTAGTCCCATGAGGATCCCTGAGCATTGCCAGGAGTGACCCAAAATAACGAGAAAGGAAAGAATAAAAACAGTAAGAACAGTGAACTGTGTCTATGCTCATGGTGGTATCACCCAGAACACCTGGACAGAGAGTGTTTCGTGAGTGACCACTGTAGATGGCTTCATCAGGGAGGCCTTCCCTTGGTCTTTATTTTTGTTATTTATCTTCATTTTATTTTGGTTCAGGGGCCACACCCAGAAGTACTCAGGGGCTACTCCTGTTTTGGGCTCAGGGGCTGGTGGTTCCCACGGGTGCCGGGGGTGGGTGGGTCCTGGCGTCCAGCATGCGAGGCTGCACTCAACCTGGGAGCTCGTCCCCTGCCCGAGGCCTGATAACGAATGACCTGATGACGCCTTCCGTGGAGACAGAGTTACTGGGGGTCTGGACTGGTGTGTGGGCACTGTGTTTCCTGAGGGCCCGAGGGGCAGGCTGGGCGCTGACCCACAGGGCCCTGCTTTTTCCTGGGTGTCTCCTCAGCATGTGGGTGGCTGCTCTGACCTATTTACTGCAGAAGGGGCATGGGGCTCAGCCACAGGAGGGGGCGGCCATGAGGGGGTTTCGGCATCAGCCTGGGCTTTCTCGGGGGCGGCTCTGAGGGGAAGCGGGGATGAGACCTGCGTCCGGGTCCAATTCAGGCTCCACAGCTTCAACCCACCAATCTGGCCCCTCTCGGGGTTCAGAGCCTGGCGGGGCCCTTCAAAGGGGCTCTGGGCGGCTGGGGAGAGAGCATGGCGGGTAGGGTGTCACCTATGAGGTCCCCAAGTGCACTCGGACGGGCTCCCGAGTGGGGCCGGGAGGAAGCTCTGGGTATGCTGTCAGGCCCCAAAGCCCAGGTCAGGGGGAAGATGAGGACAGGTGGGGCCTCAGGGGGCCAGACCCGGCCAGGGCCCACCCAGGACTGCCCACCCCGCCTGCCAGGATGTCATTAGCACAGTGGCTTCCTGGGGAGGCTGGGAAATGTCATTCTCAGGGGCGGGGAGGGTAGGGAGTGGTTCTTAGGGGACATCTGGAAGGTTCTGAATTGTGGCTAACGCGGGGGCACCCCCCTGTCTTCCGGGCTCTTAGCGGCTCTCTCCCAAGGCGGCCCAGGCGGATGGCGCCAGCCGGGGCTCCCTGCACCTTGACGTGGAGGACTGAGGGAGGAGAGAGACTCGCTGGAGCGGGAGATCGCCCAGCACCTGTCTGAGTAAATCCTGGGCCCGGTCGAAGGTGACTTGGTAGGAGCGCCCGGAGCCCGTGTGAAAGCCCAGCAGGGGACTCGGGGAGTGTCAGCGGCCTCTCAGACTGGCCGAGGGACGGGAGGCTGTGCGGGAATGAGGGGACCGCCATCCCTGGGTTCCCAATCTCTGCCTCTACACAGACTCCATCCTGTTTGCAGAGGGGGTCTTGAGGCCGAGGGGAAAGCGCCTTGCCAAGCCTGGGTTTTCCCACAGGCAGAAATGCCCACCCATTACACCAGGTCATAAGAGATGGGGATGGAAATGATCCCCCAGGGGACTGGAGCAATAGCACAGCGGGGAGGGTGTTTGCCTTGCATGTGGCCAACCCGGGTTCGATTCCCAGCATCCCATATGGTCCCCTGAGCACTGCCAGGGGTGATTCCTGAGTGCAGAGCCAGGAGTAACCTCTGTGCATCGCTGGGTGTGACCCAAAAAGCAAAAAAAAAAAAAAAAAAAAGATCACCCAGAATGAGGTTTGAGGCAAAGACCAGGGCGGGAAATGCTCCATTTCCCCACTTAAATATTAGGCCTTGGGAAAGCAGGGGTACACACCAGCAGTGGGCAGCCTTTGGTGGGTCAGGAAACTTCTCCCCCACTTTTTCTTTTTTTGGGGAAGAGAAAGAAAACATCCACAATTTGGGACTGGAGAGAGAGCACAGCGGGTAGGGTGTTTGCCTTGCATGCGGCCAGCCCGGGTTCGATTCCCAGCATCCCATATGGTCCCCTGAGCACCGCCAGGAGTGATTCCTGAGTGCAAAGCCAAGAGTAATCCCTGAGCAAAGCCGGGTATGACCCAACAAGAAAAAAAAATCCACAATTTATTTTCCAACAGACACACAGCATCATCAGATAAAAATGCAGAGTTTCTCTGTTGATCAGACACTCAGAGCGTCCCAAGTTTACCAGGGCACAAGGCAGCCCTGGTGTCTGGAAAAAACGCCACTCGGTTTAAACAGGTGCTAGCGCTGTGTCCACCGACAATTCCAGAATGAAAGGCACCACTTGACAATAATTATTTTTTGAAGGGGGATCCATATGAGTCAGATGCAATAACCAAGAGAGTCTTGGGGGGAAAGTCTTGCTCTTCCAGAGAGGAAACGGCCTCTCTGCCTGGAGGCTGAGTCTCTGCTTCCTTATCAAAGCACTAAGGACTTTTCACTGCTTCGGATTACAGATACTAAAAGGATTTAAAACGCATCGCAAAACCAGCCAGTATCCGACGTATCAGCTCTGGGGCTTAAGACGACTCCCCCAGTGTTGACTTAAGATGTCCCGGAGGCCTGAGAAGCAGCTTGGTGACACTGTGTGCTGCTGGCACGGGTCCGAGTCCTTCTCTAGACCGCATGGGCTCCTGAGCATAAAGCTGGGAGGAGCCCCAAGACCCCCAAACCAAATAAGCAACTATCTGACCAGGCAGAGGTCAACTCAGTGAGTTGCTCAGAGGAGGGTGTGGAGGGGGTCACTGCCTTAGACACCCTCCTTCGGGGGTGTCAGCCCCAAAAAAGACATTTTGGGAGCAAACATGCCCCCCCCAAGGCCAGATCAAGATTGGGCCACACTCAGACATAAGGGTCTGGGGTCCCCGGGCCAAGGAAGGGGCGCACACTCGGGCCAGGAAGGTACCCCAGATCTGGGCTGGAACTGGCAGAGTGCCGGGTTCTAGGCCCCGATAGGGGTGGGGACTAATTTATTGGTGGCAGGGGACAGAGGAAGGAGGAGGGGAGGGGTCTGCTGTCCCCGAGATTCGCTGTCCTGTCTGCGCTGGGATTGGAGTAAATGGATGTGGGTCCATCCCCGGCCTGTGTGTGTTACTGGGCAGGGCAGGGCTGGCCGGTCAGTCTCGGAAACGGGAGAAGCCCTCAGGAGGGAGGGGGAGCAGGTGGGCAGCCTTCCAGGCCAGGCACTGTCAGGGCGTCCCCTGGCCCCTCTGCTGTGCCCACCAGTCCCCAGCTTGTTCTGCCCCCTAGTGGCCAGGTCAGGATCCGCAGGGTGAGACCAGGGAAGCTGCAGGATTTTCCAAGCCTGGGCAGGGCTGTCCCCAGACCTGAGCCCTGAGCCAGAGTGACAGGAGGACATTTGCCTGCACGCAGATAACCTGGGTTCGATTTTGGCATCCCATAGGGTTCCCCGAACACTGCCAGGAGTAACCCCTGAGATTTGCTGGGTGTGACCTAAATAAGCCAAAGAATAACCAAAAAACCCCCAAACTCCCCTGAGCCCCAATGTTGCCCCCTGGGCGCCCCAGACAACACGAACCCACAGACACATTTGGTTTCCCATCGCTCAGAAATGGGTTTTATTCTCAGCCACGAGATAGCAAGACGGAGCGAGGTCAGAGACCTGGACAGCTGCCCGCACAGCAGAGGGGAGCTGCCGTCCCCAGGGCCGGGAGTGTGTGGGGGGCTCATCAGGGTGGCACACTTTGGGGTGGGCGATGTCGGGGTTGTAGGGTCCCTTGTGGTCGGGCAGCGTGGCGAGGCTGAGCGGCCGTAGATACGTGTGTGTGCGCGTATTGGAGGGGTTTCTAGAACAGGCCGGGAGCAAAACCACAGAGGGGGCACGAGCTTCACCAACGTCACGCCTGGGTGTGCCAGCTCACCACTACGATGGACTACGTCACAGAGGAGGGGGGCGGGGCCTCGGGGCTGGGCTGTCGCTGCGGAGTCAGGGAACAGCGGTCCAGGCAGGCTTGGAAAGGGAAGTCTCCGAGGAACAGGAGGGTCTGGTTAGAGGTCGAAGGGGGCCCGGGGGCTCTCAGGACGGGATGGACTTGCCTGCCCCGATCGGCTGGCAGTTGGAGAGAAAGCAGAGAGAAAAGGGGAGAGAGAGGACAAGGGAGAGCTGGTAAGGCCCGGCGGGAACGCAGGAGGAGGAGGAGGAGAGGAGGAGAGAGGAGGCGGGAAGGGGGGGGGTTAAGGGGCTCTGGGAGGGGATTGGCGGGGGGGCCACAGTGGGGGAGGGTAAGGGGCTGGGGCACCCTCCCTCTGCCACGCACACTGGCCTCTCACACCGCCAGGCAGGGCACCCCGGCCTCAGACACGCTCTGCTTTCACTGTACCCCCTTTCCTGCCCTCCACCCCCCACCCCCGCCTCCCGACTTTCAACCCCTCAAGCTTCGGAGAGGAAGGCGCAGTGAGCCCCACGCCTGCTGGATCGAGTCGGGGGAGAGAGAGAGAAAATACTGTCTGAACCATGAGGGGGCACGTCTAAGAGAGAGGGCTGGAGAGACGGGGGGTGGGGGGCACTGGAGACCCCTCAGACTGGGCAGGAAGCCCGGGCGTCCTCGGAAGGCACCCTGAGGAGGTGGGGCAGGCCGGAGGGCCAGCAGCAGGACACCAAGGGGCCCCAGGCTTATAAGTCTAAGAGGGGAGCCTCGGCAGGTCGGGGGACCGCTGGTCGCGTAGGTGAGGCTGGGCCCTTCCTGCTGGGGGAAGCAGAAGGGGCGAATCAGTGCGGGCGAGTGGCAGGCGGCTTGCTGGTCGCAGGTCTGGCCAGCAGGGGGCAGCACAGAGACGCTGGCTGCCCCGTGGGTCAGACACATGTCTGCTGGGCTGAAAGATGCCATCACCCTGGCATCCCGAGGAGCGGCCCTGCATGGGGGGAGCAAGCCCCTCTGGGCTGCCCAGCCAGGGTCTCCTCCAGTGTTCGCCCCACGAGAGAGGTGGGCACTGCCCTCCGCCCTCCGGCAGTGCCAGTTCCGGGAGCCCCCAGATGGGGAGCCCACTCAGACCGGAGAGTGAGTGTACATACTGCCCAGGAGGAAGTCCCCAAATTTCTGGCTGCTGGAGTCCAGCCCTGTCCTCAGGCCCCCACACAACACCCCCCCACTCCGAGTTCTCGCCCCTACACCCGAACCGAGAGCCCTCCTGGAGGGGCTCCGGTGCCTGCCAGCCCGGGTGCGGAGCCTGTGCCCAGCCCTGGAAGGTGTCGGGCGGTGGCACTGAGTCCCGAGGCGCCGAGAGGGAGGTTGGAAGAGCCAGCTGGCAGCGAGGACAGAGAGAGGACAGAATAAGTGGAGCTGCAGGAGGGGCATCCCCCCCGCCGTGAGGAGCTGGTGCAGCTGGGGGCAAGACAACACCGCTCATGCAGCAGGTGGGGGGGGACCTACCGTGGCGGCTGCTCCTCAAGGGTCACTGACAGTGATTCTGAAAGACAGCACGAAATCAACATGGCAGTTCACACGCACGCACGCACGGGCCAGGCCTGCAGGGGACGCCACGCGCGCGCACACACACACACACACACACACACACGTGCGCGCGCCTGGGCATGTGCACACACACACACATGCAGAGGGCTCCCCCCTGGGGGCCCCGCATGCACACGCTGACACACAGGCCCACGGACGACACGCAGCTGCCTCCCCGGCACCCTCACGGGCCACGGCACAGGGCCTGGGCCATGCAGCAGGGCCTGGGCCATGCAGCCAACGGGACGGAAGCCGAGTCACGACACAGAAGCTCACCCGCACGCGGGGATCTGCACCAGCTCCCTGCATGTGTGTGCCGGGGTGGGAGGGGCCGAGGGCCACGTGTGCTGGCTCCGAAGGGGCGGGCTGTGCCTGCGGAGGGTCCCGCGGGCCTCCCGTGGTGCCCCTAGTAGCCCCTGGGCCTGGGATGTCCCGAAGTCCCACCTGCCCACCTGCAGGCTGGAAGGTTCCCCAGCTGGCCCCGGCCCTGCCCTGGGCAGCCTTTCCTTATTCCTCCTCATTCTTGTGGCTCCCTGGCTCTGGCCAGCGGCTCCCTCAAGCTGCCCCCACGCCACTCGTGGGCCTCGGTGGCCCCGCCCCACCCAGGACCCTCTCACTCCTCCCTGCAATGGCCTCCAGGCTGACCCCCAGTTCCCGGAAATGCCCTCCACGACGAGTCCCACATCCTGAGTGTGAGAGTCAGAGACGGGGGTCACAGTTCCCATGTGTCCCACCTCAGCATCGGCGCGGTACATGTGAGGGACAGCGAGGGACCCAAATTCTGGCTGCCTGTCAGCCATGTGCACCTGCAGCCACATATAGCCAGGGACCCTCCCCCCCCATCCCACCCACCCTAAGAGAAGGACACGTGTGTGTGATCTTCGAGTTTCAGCCTTGGAAGGAACATGATCCGGGGTGGTCCAGAACCAGACAGGAGCTCAGGACCTTGCCACCAGGCACCCTCTTCTGCAAGGGCCATCAGATCCCCGCCTAGCCCCGCCTTGAGGCAAGACCCCTGGGCCCCACCCTCCAGCCACCTGGAAAGCAAAATCCAGGCTGTGGGCTCACTATTATTCCACAAAAACTCCACCAGGAGGAGACAGAGCAGGCTGAAGACACTTCAGTGACGTGGTGCTTTAAAGTGCGTCCGGGTCAGAGGGTCATGGGCAAAACCTCGGAGGGCCCACACCTAGTGGTGCTCAGGGCTTACTCCTGATTCTGCACTCAGGAATTACTCCTGGCGGAGCTCGGGCTGGGGCTTGAAGCCGGGTGGGCCACATGCAAGGCAAGTGCCCTGCCAGCTGAACTATCACTCTGGCCCAATCCTCTTTATTTTTTTGCTAGAAACTTTGGGAAATAGGGGTGGGTTGTGCCGGTTCCTTTTGCTCACACCTACCAGGTGGGTCCTGACCAGAGCAGGGCACGCAACAGTCCTCAGCGTACCCACAGCTCCCAGCATCTCTGCCTTCTCCCTGGGCCTGGGGGCCGCCCGTGCACTGACACACCTGAGCACACCCCACAAACGCCACTCACACACCCCACGCGGTTCCACGCACATCTCTTCACACACGTGCTCCTGGGGGCCGGAGGCCAGCCCCCTCCTGGGGAGCCACGGACGTCCGCGGGTGCAATCGCTCTCCACCTGCGGAGGGGCTCCGGGCTTAGGTCCTCAGCTCTGGGAAGGCCTCAGAGGCTGGGAGAGAGAAGTCGAGGAGGGACAGGGCAGGAGGAAGACGAGTGCAAAGACAGAGCGGAGAGTGAGAGAGGAGAGAGCCATGCAACAGGCTGGGAAGAAGGGGGGCTGGGCCCCACGGGCCCCTCCCCAGGAACGACCAGGGACTCAGCGCTCCCTGGGGGCAGGCTCCGCCAGCCCCGTGCTCACACCTCGCTTGGCTCCAGCTCCCACTGGGAGGCCCCTGGGATGGAGAGGACCGGGACTGCGGCTCCAGGATCCGGCCCCACCTCCCTCCGGGGCTTTCCCGCCGCACTCAGCCCCTACTCACCTGGGGACCCCGGGCGGGGCGCGGTTGGGGCGCGAGGGCACCTGGGGGGGAGGGCCGAAGGGGTCAGGGGAAGCCCCCGGCCTGGAGGGCACGGGGGGCGCCCCCCCCAGGGCGGACCCAGCAGGCGGAGGCCCAGGAGCAGGGCCCCGGGATCCGGGCCGGGCTGGGGGCACGGCGGGGGCTCTGCGCTGCGGCGTGGGGCTGGACGTGGGCGACCTGCTGCAGGGACGGAGAAGCAGAGGGGCGGGGACAGGGATGAGCGGCTCCGCCCCCGCCGGAGGCCCCGCCCCCAGCAGGCGCCGCCGCGTCCCTGCGCGCAAGCCCCGCCCCCGGCGCTCCACGGCAAGCCCCGCCCCGCGAAGCCCCGCCCCGCTCTAAGCCCCGCCCCGCGCTCCAGGTGGGAGCCGCCCCGGCGACGCGGGCGCGCCACTGCCCGGTCCCGGTCCTCCTCCTCCCGCGGGCCCCGGGTTGGGGGGCTTTGAAAGGGGCCGTGGGGGCCGGCCCTGGTACCTGCGTCCGGCCGGTACGCTCTGCACCTGCAGCCAGGAGTCGTCCACGGGCGGGGGCATGGGCGTGCTGACGGTGGTCGTGTTGATGTCCCCGATGATGCTGAGCGCCTCCTTCAGGGCGTGGTACATGCGCAGCATCTCGTCGCGCCGCTGCGCCTGCTCCGCCGACTCCTCCATCAGGGTGTTCTGGTCCCCGCACGAGTACAGGTTGGCCAGCAGCTCCGAGAAGATGAACTCCTTGGTCTGCGGGCGAGAACGGGAGGGCGTTTTAAACGCCTTAAAATCCCAGGTGTTGGGGCTGGGACCTGCGCCCTGCAGGGTCCTCGCTGCGCTCTGCGCTGGCCGCGGGGCTGGGAGATCCTCAGGCTTCCCCCCTTACCCTTTACTCAGCTGGGAACACAGAGGGCCAGAGAGAAAAAGTGACCCGTGGCAAGGCCATACACAGGCTGGGAGGACACTCGGGGCCTTTCATGCAACCAGGATACTTGCTTCCCCTGTTTTTAAATTTCTTACATGTAAAAAGTTTGTTTCACTCTTTTTTCAAGGGTTTGCATGCATCACTGGACCCAAACAAGCAAGGTGAGAGTTACACATTTTCTGGATGCCCTAGAAGTGAGAGCAAGGTGGCCGGTGGGTCTGTGTGTATAAGGGCTGAGTTAATATTCTTTTTTCTTTGCTTGGTTTTGGGGCCAGCCGTGTTCAGGGGCTTTTCCTGGCTCTGTGCTCAAGAGTGACCCCTGGTGATACTCAGGGGATTGCATGCAGTGCCGTGGATCAAACCAGGTTGCACCTTAGCCCCTGTACTATCTTTCCGGCCTCACGGGTGGGTTAATATTTTCCTTTAAAGAGGGCAGAGAGATGTCACAGTGGGTAGGTACTAGCCTTGCATGCAGCCAACCTGGGGTTGATCTCCGGCACCACTTAGGGTCACCTAAGCATTGCCAGGCACGATCCCTGAGCACAGAGCTAGGAATAAGTCCTGCTCACCACTGGCACCAAAAACAAAACAGACAAACAGAAACTCCTTAAAATCCCAGGTGTTGGGGCTGGCGCAATAGCACAGCGGGTAGGGCGTTTGCCTTGCACGCGGCCGACCCGGGTTCGATTCCCGGCATCCCATATGGTCCCCCGAGCACTGCCAGGAGCAATTCCTGAGTGCAAAGCCAGGAGTAAACCCTGAGCATCACCAGGTATGACCCAAAAAGCAAAAAAAAAAAAAAAAAAAAAAACCCAGGTGTTGAATGAGGCAGGCAGTTCAAAGGGTTAGTAAGCTGTCACTGCAGGCCAGAGGCCCAGGTTTGATCTTTGGTAGTAAATACTCCCCTGAGTACCACCAGGGTCACTCCTTAACAGAGTCAAGAGTAGCCCCTTCAAACCCCTGGGTGTGGACCCCCAAACCTAACAAAGAAAAGTTCCAGGTATGACTTAGCCCGTCTCTGAGCTATTCATGGATAGAAATGTTGAGGATTTTATACTGGAAGTCTGGTTCTCCTCTATCCAATTGACAAATATAGTTTGGCAGCTATTAAGGGCCAGACACACTTCATGTTGATTTGTTCCTCAATTCCATTGTGATCGGTATCTTACAGGTGAGGGCGCAGGAGCTCAGAGCTCATGTTTTACACGTGGAAGCCCTGGGTTCCATCTCTGTGGCATCATGTGATTCACCAAGCACTATGCCAGGAGTAGCCCCAAGAACTACTGGTGTGATCCCTCACTAAAAGGGGAAAAGTCATGCAAGAAATTTGTGCCTGGGGCTGGAGAGATAGCACAGCGGGTAGGGCGTTTGCCTTGCACGCGGCTGACCCGGGTTCGATTCCCACATCCCATATGGTCCCCTGAGCACTGCCAGGAGTAACTCCTGAGTGCAGAGCCAGTAGTAACCCCTGGGCATTGCCAGGTGTAACCCAAAAAGCAAAAAAAAAATTGTGCCAAACCTGGTTGCAAATCCAGTTCTAACTCCCCAAAGAGGGTAGCTTTTCACTAAATTCTGGATTAGTGGTTCTCTGGGAAGGGGTCTTTCAAAACATGCCCAGGAATTCTCAAAGGTGCAGATTCCTGGTCCCTTTTGGAAAACACTTAGGAACTGGAGCGATAGCATAGTGGGTAGGACATTTGCCTTGAACGCAGCTGACCCGGGTTTTGGTCCCAGCATCCCATTTGGTCCCCTGAGCACTGCCAGGAAGAATTCCTGAGTGCAGAGCCAGGAGTAACCCCTGAGCATCACTGGGTGTGACCCAAAAAGCAAACAAAACAAAACAAAACAAAATAAAAACCCACTTAAACATGTTTGGAACAACTCAGGCACAATGAGTATCCCTTTTCAATTGTAAAACATCCTGAAATCTAAATACAGGTAGAGTATTTTCTGTAAAAATGATCTGAATTATAAACCAGCATAATAAAAAACTATGTAAAATAAAATAATCTCCTTAGCTATTATTATTATCATTATTATTTTGGTGTTGTGCTCAGACCTTATTCCTGTCTCTGTGCTCAGGGATCTGTCACTGTCACTATCACTGTCCTCCCGTTGTTCATCAATTTGCTCGAGCGAGCCCAGTAACATTGTGAGACTTGTTACTGTGTTTGGTATGTCGAATATGTCACGGGTAGCTTGCCAGGCTTTGCCGTGCAGGCGAGATACTCTCAGTAGCTTGCTGAACTCTCCAAGAGGGGTGGAAGAATCGAACTCGGGTTGGCTGTGTTGGCAGCGTGCAAGGCAAACGCCCTACCCGCTGTGCTATCGCTCCAGCCCCCTCAGGGTTCACTCTTGGTGGGCTCAGAGGACCATATGAGGTATCCAGTGATCAGGTAGGAATTCGGGTAGGAAGTGTGAAAGGCATGTGCCGTATCCCCTATACTATCTCTCCTGCTTAATTATTTTTAGGATAAATTACATGTGAAAAAGAGAGTATTTTGAACAAACTGAGTTTCAAAAGGGACCAAAAGTAATCTTGCTTTTTTTCAAACCTCTTGGCTGGGGGGGGGGGGAGACAGAGACAGAGAGAGAGAGAGCGCCTGCCATCGAGGCAGGCAGGAGGGGGTGGGAGGGCTGGAGGGTGGGAGGGAAACTGGGGACATTGGTAGTGGGAAATGTACACTGGTGAAGGAACAGGTGTTGGGACACTGTATGACTGAAAAACCCAATCAGAGCAACTTTGTAACTGTGTATCTCACTGTGATTCAGTTAAATACATAAATAAAACAAATAAACTCTTGGCTAGTAAAACTGTCAAAGAATATATGAAGCTCTTGTCACATTTCTTTCTTTGGAGGGGGAGGTGGGAGCCCCCAACTGGGTGGTACAGAGCTGAGTTGGGATGGGGGTGGAGGGGGGGCGGGGAGAAGCTATTTCTGGTTCTGTGCTCAGGAGTGACCCCTGGTGGTGCATGGGGGAACCATCTGTGGAAACTGGAGTCCTGTGGCCGCAAGGCGGCGGGGCCTCCCTGCATTGTCTCTGACTCTGCAATGCCCCAGTGACCCCAGACAGCTGCCCGGCCCAGGCCCGGTGGTGGACACGCACGTTGTTGATCATGAGGTGCATGATGGTCTTGGGCATGAGGTCCCGCACGGTCTTGTTGACGATGGCCATGTAGGAGTCCACCAGGTTGCGGATGGTCTCCACCTGCCGCTCCAACTGCGGGTCCATGGAGTGCATGAAGCTGTCGGAGCCATTCTCCTCCGTCTCGCCACTCGCCTGGTGTCGACAGGACAGGAAAGACATCAGAGCTAGCCCCTCCCCAGGGGCCTGGAGCACGGAGACGCAGAGAGGCTGTCACCACTGGCAGGGACACCCCGCCGGGCCCCAGCTAGGACCCCCCACTTCCGCACATGCCCCCAGACTCTGTCCCCCTTCTGTGCCTCTCAGGATAGCAGAGTCCCCCTCTTTAAGCCTGACTTGGCTCCTGGGAGTCCCTCCATGAGGGACGGCACCTCTAGATCCCATCCTGCATGCTCAAGGGACAGAGCTGGTGCCAGTCAGGAGCTGGCTGGCAGGGGAGGGGGGACTTACTTTCTCCTTGTCCTGGAGGGCCCGTACCCAAGCCAGCGGGGTCGCCACAGCAACATCACCACCGCCGGCGAGCACGGCCGAAGCAGAAACACAAGAGAGAGAGAGAGAGAGAAAGGGATTGAGTGAACCCAGGGCACAGAGCCCCGACCCCAGACACTGTCTCAGAGCAAGGAGATAGCACAAGAATGCACGGCCTGCCGGAGTGATAGCACAGCAGGGGGGGTGTCTGCCTTGCCGACCCAGGTTCAATCCCCGGCATCCCCCCCCCCCCCCCCCAGCACTGCCAGCAGTAATTCCTGAGTACAGAGCCAGGAGTAACCCCTGCGCATTGCTGGGTGTGACCCAAAAAGAAAAAAAAGAGAGAGAGAGAATGCCCGGTGACACCATGCATGCGAGAAACCCCATCTGGGCACTCCAGGTGATAGAGTCACCTGCCCCTGAGAAGAACAGGGGGCAGGTTTGGTCCTGGGGCAGGCAGAGGTGCTCCCTGGGTGCTTCCTCCAGTCCTGAGCCCACTAAGGGTGGGAAGCCATGGAGGAAGCAGCCTGAGGAAGGGCCTGAGACCCTGAGGAAGGTGCCCTACTACCCCGAGCGCCTCAACTCACCCCAACACGCTCGGGGTACACGCCAGCCCTCAGGAAGGAGGCCTTCCAGCTATCCACCTCCTCCTGGGTCTCACAGGCCAGCTCCAGCTGTCGGTAATCCTTATAGACATTCCTGCAAACGGGAGAGGGGTGAAGCCCAGTCCTTTTTTTGGGGGGGGGCTCAGGGCCGACCCGGCCGGGCTCCTGGCACCGGGGCGCAGCTCTAGGCCTCTCTGACCCTAGTTTCAGTTTCCCAATCTGGAAGCTTCGTCAGCCACCATTGCTGCCTGCCTGGGTCACTGGGAGGGTCCCATGTGAGTCCAGCAGTGAAATGTGTGGGTGGAACATTCCAGGCGCTCTCAGCGCGAGGCAACCTGGGAAGGGGCTCAAGTCTCACCACGGACGACCCCACCCACCGTGGGGGGACAGGACGGGAGAGGGGGCAGGAGAAAGGGGCCAGGAAGTGGATTTGGAAGTGCCGGTGGGGTGCGGTCAGGTTCCCCCTTTCCGCGTCTCTGTGCCCCCTGCCCGTTTCCACCCAGTGGGGCTGGTGGGCCGGGCAGGCACCTCTGCTCTGTGTTGAAGAGGGCAAAGATGTGTTTGCTGGACATGAAGCCCTTCTCCACGTCCCGCAGTTTCAGGTTGTCCACAGACAGCATGTACTTCTTCTCCTTCTCCTGGGGGTCGAGACAGGAGCACGGTGAGAGGGGATGTCCCACCACTGCGCACCGTCAGCACCCCGGACCTGCCTGGGGGGAGGCCCCCCCCAGCTGCCCACGGCCATCCAACCGTCAACCTCCACCTCTGCAGACACGCCCGGGCGCCCCGAGTGGAAAGGCTGAGAGCAGCCCCTCCGTCCGTCCCACCCACGCCAGCCCGGGAGCCAGGCCAACCCCCACCGGGGACCCCGCGCTCCCAGCCACTCTCGCCCCCCAGCTTGGCTGCTCTGGATAAGCCTCTGACTTCATTTCCTGAAGGCAGAGAAGGGGAAGGGGGGGGACGGGCCCCAGCAGCTTCAAAGGGCTGGTTCAGCCCACTGCACCCCCCACCCCCACCCCGCGCGCCCCCAGGCAAGCCACCCATGTGTTAGCAATCAGGCGCACAGCACAGGCCTGGAGACGGTGAGTCCGGGTACATGTGTGCGTGCCTGTGGACACAGGCTGGTCCAATGCCACTGTGTGTGCTCCTCCAGTCCGGACTGCCGGGGGCGGGGGCGGGGAGGGGGGGGTGAGGTGTGACATAGCTGTGTCTGTGTGCATGTCTGTGTGTCTGTGTTTCTGTGTCTGCCTGTGTGCGTGATTGTGTGTTTCTGTGTGTTTGTGTATACATGTAAATGTCTGTGTGTCTCTGTGTGTGTCTGTGTGCATGTATCTCTCTGTGTGTGTGTGTGTGTGTGTGTGTGTGTGTGTGTTGAAGCGTCTCTGTGGTGTCTGGGTGTGTCTGAGCACGTCAGTGTGGACGTGTGGCTTTTGTCGATGTGTGTGGCAGCTGTGACCGTCTGTGTGGGTTTGACTGAGCTGGGGCGTAGGTGCTGGTCCTGGACGAGGGCTGCGTGTCTGTGATGGGCTCGAGTGCCGAGGGGAAGTCGGTGGAGGTGGGGAGGGTCCACCCAGAGTCACAGGTCTGCGGGGGTGGGGGCTGGTGACCGACTGGATCTCAGGCATTCAGAGCCGGGACAAGGCTGACCCAGGGGACCTCAGGTTGGGAAGTTGGTCGAAGAGATGGACCCCGTTTCTCACCCTGCTCACCTCCCTTTGTACCCCCCACCCCACCCCCAGCCCCACCTCCGGCTGGGCCAGTCACATAAAGCCCTCTTTATGGTGGAGGGTGGCGGGGGATCCCCTGGGAGCGCGGGGAGGGGTGGGGGGGAGGAGGGAGGAAGTTGGACGGGCCGCGGAGAACATCTGGAAGCGTTGGAGCGGCTGCGCGGGGGCTGGACCGGGCAGGGGCGGCCTCCGCGGCCGGCCCCCTCCCCAGGCCCCTCCCTCCCGGCCGCGGAGCCCGCTCACCCCTGCCACGTCAAGAGACAGAATTGGAGCCGGGAGCAGAGAGGGGACCACGCACGGGCCGTCGCCGTCGGGGCTGGGGCGCCGGGGACCCTGGGGCCGGCGGGGCCGGGGCTGGGGCTGGGGGGCTCGGATCTCCAGCAGCGGGGGAGGGGCGCCCGCAGCAACGCCGCCCGGATCGCCAAGGACACCTCCACTCCGCCTGCCCAGTGTTTAGACTATCTGTTCAGGATCCCGAATTGTACAGTAGTCTGCACATTGGTTAGGCTGGGCTGGGTGAGACCCTCGCCAGCGCCGCAGAACCACCGACCCGCCGGCGCCGGCCCCTTCGGAACCTGGAGCTGGGGCAGGGGTGGGAGGGGGGTGGGGGTCTGGTGGGGGGCACGTGGGGGGACGGAGGTGCCTCACCCCCGGCGGGGTGGGGTGGCTGATGGGGGCTGAGGAGGACGGGGAGGATGGGGGAGGGTCCCTGAGGGCGGCTGTCTGCCTGGGCCCCTTCCCCAAAGCGCAGAGGGCTGGAGGTAGGGGGCAGCGGGTGGGGGTGGGGGAGAGGGGGACCGATCGCCTGCGGTCCCTAGCTGTACCACGTGAGAATTCACTCACCCCAACAATGACAGCCCCCACCTCCACGCCCGGAGTTCAGCACACGAGTGTGTGTGTCCCCCACTCCAGGGCACCAACCCTCCCCCACCCCCCCACCCCAAATCACGCATCTTCCCTCAGGCCCCCCCCACCACAGCCCCTGACACCCCCAGGCCCGGTGACTCCAAACACACCTAGGGCCGGCACGTAAACCGCCCCTCCACATCCCCCCTCTCCCCTACGCCCCTAAACTCAGACACTCCACAAAGCTCCGAAGAGCCTCCTTCGTCTGACAGCATGGGAACCCTCTCAGCCCCGCGGGTCCCCATACCAGGCCCTCAGCCCCCTGTCCAGCCCTTGTGCAGGGGGCCCCCACAACCCAGGAGCCCCAGAAGGAGGGCGGTGCCCCGTGCCCAGGGGGCTGTCTGGGCAGCAGGAAGCGACACCCCCACCCGGCGGCGTGTGCGCCCTCACCACCTCACACTCCCCCGCCCTGCCGAGGGGCCCCAGCTCGGGAGAGGCCGGGGTTGGGGTAATGAGGTCCAGATGGTTTGGCGCCCCCGCCAGTGACGACAGAGGTCCCCGCCCAAGGTGGGGGGGCCCTGTCCAGGGCGACTAGGAGGGGGCAGGGATCAAGGGAGGGGCTTGAAGCCCCAGAGCAAAGCCCCCCAGCCTGGTCCCCCTGCCAGATGCCCCCACAAGGCCCCTGGGGCATGAGGTGGGTCCCTCCCGCAGTCCTGGGCCAGCTGGAGTTCATTACCATGAGCCCCCAGCCCCCAGCCCTCCCTGTTCTCTGGTCACCTCTGGAATCCAGATGTGCAAGCCACAGACGTGTTCTTAAAGGGACCCGCAACAGGGAGGACCAGGCGGCAGTGGAGGCAGGAACCTCGGGGGCGGTGGGGTGGGGGGAGGTCTTTGGGTGGGGCCTCTGAGCCCCATCACTCCTGGCCCGAAGGCTGGGGGCACCTCCAGTGATTTCCTTGGCCGGCTGGGCTCTGGGGAGCTGGGGTGCAGGGGTTAACGGGGTGTCTGGCACTGGGACTCCTGTGTGTCATGGCTGGGGGGAGGGGGGAGGCGGTGCACCCCAAGGGGGAGAGTGAAACACTGCTTGGCTGGCGGGGTCAGGGAAGGGGCCCGCACCCCTACCCACCCTCTCCAAGCCCCCTGCCCGATCCTCTTCCCCCCACAGCCAGCGTCTCCTTCCGGCCTGGATGAGGCCCCGTATGCTGGCACCCAACTGACATCCAGCATCCCAGGGCCCGGCGGGATGGTCCGGTCCACTCTAAGGCCACGGAAGGACCACACCTGCTCTGGCCACTGCCCTCAGAGCCCAGGCGCTGACTCACCTCGTCGTCTTTGTACCAGGACAGATTCTCGGCTGTCAGCACGAACCAGTACTCTTTGGACCCACCCTTCATGATGCCAATGTTGTTGATGGTCAGCCAGCCCTTTCGGATGACCTGCAGGGGGACGGCGGGGGTCAGTGTGCAGGCCGCAGGCACAGCTGCGGGGGAGGGGTGTGGCACCCCGCAACCTAGCTCTCCGGGCGGTTCTCCAATAAAGTCTCAGGCACGGTGCCCAGGGCAGACAGAGGGAGGCACTCTGGGGCTGTCACTAAAACTAGTGATGCTTGTGGTCTGATTAGGGGAAGAGACCCCCCCCCCATCCCTGGAAAGGTCCACACTGAGCTGAGGGGGCCTTTGGGGCACACTGGGGTCAGTTCTTTCTGACCTCAGGGACTGTCCTGGGCTGCGGTGGCTTCTGCCTGATGACCCACTCCCCACCTCAGGGGCCAGCCCAGAAGCTATAATCCCAGACCCTCCCTGACCCCCAACAAAAGTCAGGACCCCCGTCCCCACTCTAACCTTTTATTTCCCCACACTTCTTTCTGACAGTGAATGTGGTTTCAAATGAACCCCAGTGTGTGCACACGCGTGTGTGTGAATGTGTGTCTGGGAGCGTGTGCTCGTGCTTATCTCTGGCGCCTGTTACTGGTGAGCTTTCTTGCAACATGCAAAGGCCAACACCCTGCAGGCCTTGGCGACCTTAAGTGATGAGTAAGCCCTTGTGGCAGGACAGGAGACTAAGAGTGGGCTCAGTCTTTACGCCCTAGTCCCGACAGGTCTGGGGCGAATGGGAGCGCGGGCTTGTATTCCCAGGAAATGCTTGCCCCGGTCTCCCCAACACCCCCCCACCTCCCACTCCAAGGGGTATCAGAGATCTCTTCCCAGCTGAGAGCAACGGCAGGCCCACAGGCTCCGCCCATGGAGGGCAGTCCTGACATAGGCTCCACCCAGGAAGGGCATCCTGCCATATAGGCTCCACCCACAGCAGGTGGGCCTGAGCATAGGCTCCACCCCAAGCCTTAGGCTCTGGCAGGACGGGTGTGTAGCTAGCACTCCCTGGCAGAGCTGGTGCCCAGACCCTGGCAGAGGATAAGGGGGAGTGCTTCTGCTCCCTCCCTGGCCTGGACCTCCTCTCCTGCTTCTCTGAGCATGCAGAACAGATCTCCCCCCAAGCAGATCCCTGGAGAAACCCCCAGACTAGGGTGACTGAAGAGCCTCTAGAGGCTGGAGCGATAGTACTGCGGGTAGGGCGTTTGCCTTGCACACAGCCGACCCGGGTTCGATTCCCAGCATCCCATATGGTCCTCTGAGCACCCAAAAAGCAAAAAAAAGAACACCCGGGACCAGCTTCCTTCGGAGTCCCCTCTTGGATCCTGGTACCTCCTTACTTGTCTGGCTGCCCCAGACCCAACCCCAGCCCTGAGAGTCAGCGCCCGGGGGTTCTTCCTGCTCTTCCTGGTTCCGTGAGAACTTCTCTGAGTCTTGTTGCTTCCTTGTTTTTTTTTTTTTTCCGGAAGGGTCACACCTGGCGATGCTCAGGGGTTAGTCCTGGCCCTGCACTCAGGGTTTAGTCAGTGGTGCTCAGGGGACCCTATGGGGTGTCAGGGATCAAACCCGGGTCAACTACATGCAAGGCAAGTGCTCTACAGCTATATTATTTCTCCAGCTCCTTTGTTTTGTTTTGAGAGCAGGGGGCACACCTGATGGTGCTCAGGCCTGACTCTTCCCTTGGGGTCATTCCAGATGATGCTGGGGGACCCCGGGGATGGACTCTGGGCTACCCAGACTGACAGCTCTGTCTTTGAAGTCCAGGCTCATCCTCTGGTACTCTGCGTCCCAGGGTGGCACCAGTCAACCTCACCACCCTGTGGTCCTGCACCCCTAGTTCCACCCTCCTCCTTGCTCCAGAGTCCCTACACCCAGGGGTTCCCCTCACTCCCACCTGCCTCCTCCCACCTCCTCTTCCACTCGCTCTAAGACCCGCCTGTAGGGGCATGTGGCCTGGGTGTATGACACTCATTAACTCCTTCGATCAAACACTTTCTGAGCACCAGGCATGAGGCTGGGGCTGAAGATTTACCGATGAACAAGACAGGCCCAGACCTTTCCCATGTGGGGGGCAGGAAGGAACTAGATACAAAGCCCCAAATCACACAAATATCCAGATTACCAGATTATCTCAAAGAAACCACGGCCCTTGGAGAGCTCATGTGTGAAACAGGGATGCAAAATGTTCCCGATGAGCCGCTCGGCAGGAAGGGGGAGGCAGAGCTCCCAACATGTTGCCCTCTCCTCGACTCGGCAGCAGTTGGTGGTGGCTCAGAAACGTTGTCTTTGCCATCCACCCATAAACTCATCCATCCAACATCCACCAATCCAACTGTCCATCTACTAATTCGTCGATACATTCACCAATTTATCTACCCAAACATCCATCTATTCACCAACCAGTCAGCTTCATCCATACACCCATTCATCCAAGTGCCCACCCACCCACCCATCTATCCCTCCACCCACTCACCATCCATCCACCTACCATTATGCATCTACCCTCTCCTCCACCAATTAATCCACTCATCCATCCAAGTACCCGCCCACCCACTTACCTACCCATCCACCCACTTACCCACCCACCCATCCATCCACCCATGTACCTATCCATCCATCCATCCATCCATCCATCCACCCACCCATCCATCCACCCATCCATCTACCCATGTACCTATCCATCTATCCATCCATCCATCCATCCATCCATCCATCCATGTATCCATCCATCCATCCACCCACCCATCCATCCACCCATGTACCTATCCATCCATCCATGTACCCATCCATCCATCCCTCCATCCATGTACACATCCATCCATCCATCCATCTATCCATCCATCCACTCACCCATCCATCCACCCATCCATCTACCCATGTACCTATCCATCCATCCATGTACCCATCCATCCATCCATCCATCCATTCATCCATCCATCCATGTACCCATCCATCCATCCATCCATCCATGTACACATCCATCCATCCATCCATCCATCCATCCATCCATCCATCCATCCATCCATCTACCCACCCACCCATGTACCCATCCATCCATCCATCCATCCATCCATCCATCCATCCATCCATCCACCCTTTCATCCACCCACCCAACCACCCACCCACCCATCCATCCATTCAACTGCCCCCATCATCTGTCCACCCACCCACAGATATTTAAGAAGCACCTACTCAGTGCCAGGCCCACGCCAGGCATTTTCTACACACCCCGGCCCCCATCCACACAGTCCATTTTTGCTGGAAGTAAATGCTCAGCTCATGCGCATGAACGGCAGGATTGGGCAGCGTGGCCTTGCCTCTCGCCTCAGAGCACGTGTGGATACCCATAAGCTGGCGTGTGCAAGCGGCTCAGCTCAAGGGTGCCCTCCTGCCCCTGCACAGCCCCGGGATAAACAAGGCCCTCCGCCCCTCCCACGACACAAGCCAAGAGCCCCAGTCCTGGTACTCACCAGAATCTCATCCTGCAAAGAGGTAACCATAGCAACCACGAGAAGCATCGGGAGAGAGGAGAGAGGGTTACTGAGGCAGAGTGGGAGGCTGGTGGCCAGCGGCTGGTGGCTCCCTGGCCCCCATGGCCGTGGGTGCCTGGCCTTGAAGAAGGGGCTCTCAGAGCCCGGGGTCCATCCGGCACCCTCCATCCCGGCCTGGTCATGGGGGACTCACTCACCTGGTTCCCTGAAGCCTTCTTCTTGCTCATCTGGCTGCTTCTCTGCTGAGCACTGACAGGGAGAGACGGGAGCGTCTCAGAACCCCTCTGCTCCACCTCACTGCACACGGACACACACCGCCAAGCACACATGTTCCCGCCTAGACACACGCACCATTGCAGGCACGCACCCACACTCACGCAGGCACCGACACACAGCACGCACACACACATGGGCACGTCCACAGGAAGCCTCGCGCTTCCGGCCTGGGAACACTCACTTGGCAAAGCCGATGAAATCCTCATGGTTGGTGTTCATGTAGGCCAGTTCAATGTCGATGAGCAGCATGACCTTCCAGGACACGGGGCAGCGGGCAGGGGAGAAACATCACACGGGTTTCAAACCCAGGAAGTGCTGGGAGGAACAAGCTTGCAACCCAGATCCAAATTCGCAAGCAGCAAACCCAGGACCCTGAAGCCCCCAAACAGAGAGTCTGGACCAAAGGGCTCAGGAATGGGTGAGAAATGTGAGTCATGTGGTCGGAGAAGAGACGGGGACTGTTCACAGCATCCCCGGACACACCCTCCTGAGTAGAGAAGGGCTCTGCCAGGGTTGACAACCTCAGGGGATGAGACCCCTTCCGAACACATCGGATCATTAGTAAACATTGCTACAGTCTCATGTGCAGGAAGGTGGACTTAGTCCTATACTCTGGGTGGACACGTGAACCAGTATCCCTTTCTTGTCAGGCAACACGCTCTGAGAATTAGCTTGACTGTGCTAATTCTCTCTTCAAGAGAGCACACACACACACACACACACACACACACACACACACACACACACAGAGGACACACATGGATACCGGATGGCTTGTAAAATGAGAAACCAGTGGAAAAGTCAATGGCCGGGAGGAAGTGAAACAGACAAGGGCAATCTCTGAGCAAAAGAAAATGTCAAGAGCAAAAACTGATGGTTCTTGGGCTGCCATTCCATCCCAAAAGGATGGGGGTGTGGTGTGGTGGAGGCCCATACACCTGGCCTGGCTGAAACCCTGGGGTTGTCAACCCTGGCAGCAGAGCAAAGAGGAAAAAAATTAAAGAAGTATGAGGACAATTTCTTGGTAATGGTGAGAGGGACTCTGTGCTTCTGAGGGGCATGCAGGGCTATGACATGGGCTCAGCTCTTGCTGGGAGCCTCAGGATCTACGAGGAGGGGAGAGGTGGGACCCTTAGAGAGAGACATAGAGAGAGAGAGAGGGAGTGTGTAAGGGAGAGAGAAGAGAGAGAGAGGAAGAGAGAGAGGGAGAGAGACAAAGAGAGAGAGGGAGAGAGAGACAAAGAGAGGAGACAGAGAGAGAGGGAGGGCGAGGGAAAGAGGGAGAGAGGGGGAGAGAGAGAGAGAGAGAGAGAGAGAGAGAAAGAGAGACTGAGGCACAGCTAGCAGGCAGGGCAGGCCGGGACGGGCACAGGGTGGGCAGAGGCCGGGCTCCGGGCTCACCTGCTCCTTGGTGCGTCCCTCGCGTTCCCGAATGTGGGTGGTCACGATGCGCTCCATCTCCTCCCGCAGCCGGGGGTACTGCTGGAGCTGGGAAGGTGGAGGCGAGAGAGCCAGGTACACGGGGGGGCCGTGGGCAGGGAGCACCCGCACCCCACCAGGGTCCAGGCACGGAGTGGGGAGCACACGGAACGCCCGAGAGAGGGGGGAATCCACGCGCCCCAGAGGCTGCGGGCACCATGCCAATGGAGACCCCCCCTGCCCCCATGCGGGTTCCCGACAGCAACTCAGGGTCTCGCTGGTGCCAGGGCCTCGTCGCTGGCCTCCCTGGGCACCTGGGCGGATGGGCCTGGGCACCCCCTGGGCTCCCGGCCGCCGTCTTGGAAACAGATCCCCCCGGAGGCCCCCCGCCACCCTCCCCCGGACTCCCGCCACCTTCTCAAGGCTTGGGGAGACAGTTGCCCCGAGTTGGCCTGACACAGGCAATGCTCCTAGTCTGAGCTGACCAGCATCACACGGGGGGCGGGGGGGGGGGGGGCGTGCGGGAGTCACGCAGGAGCATGCAAGGTGGGGGACATGCGGAGTGGGGGCGCCAGCAGCATGAGCAGTGCCCACGGGGCCTGGGGAGAGCCCACTCGGGAGACCCCACCCAGGGCTGCTCCCCTTTGGGTCCACTCTGGGCGTGTCTGCCTGGCTTCCAGCAGGCGGCCCACCTCTCGGGAAAGCACCCTGCAGGGCGCCCGGCTTATACCCGCTGTCAGAGCGGAGACCACGCCAGACCTGCACCCTGCTCTCAGCCCCGCCCTCAAGGCCCAAGTGCTCCCAGACTCCATGGGATGGCCACCTCCTCCGGGAAACCTGCCCTGCCACCCCCAGAGTGGTTTGGGGCTCTCTCTGCACCCACCCGGGCCCTCTGCTGTCCAGCTAGGTGATCACTGGCCTGAGGGCAGATGCAGAGGGAGGGAGAGAATGAAGGATGGATGTGTTGGCCGCCCCCTTTGCCCCCCCCAGGACGGGGACCTCACCCCTCTGTCCTGCTGGCCCAAGTTCCCCACTCGATGGCCACGTGGGGCCCAGGCAGGTAATGCGAGGGCGGGGCGGGCACCCCTCTGTGGGAGGAGAGCTTCCTGGCTCCCAGGCAAGGGGGATGAAGGGGCAAGGGAGGCCCAGGAGACAGAGCAGGAAGAGGCGGAAGGAAGAGGAGGCCTGGAAGCCAGCCCGGGGGAGGAGGCTGTGGAAGATGCCACATTCCAGACCCTGGCTCCACCGGGGGTGTGGCTGATGGGGCCAAGCGGGGAGAGGGGGCACTGGGGAAGGGGCAGTCGCAGCGTGGGTGGGGGTGCGCGGGGCGGGGCAGGCAGTGGCCCCTGTAAGCTGGCGGGGGGGCGGGGGGGACACACACCATCTCTGAATCCTGGCAGAGATGGGGAGCTGAGTCACGCCACAGGCCTCCCCTGAGGGGTCCCAAGTGCTCCCTCCCAGAGGGAGGGGCGGGGAGGCGCAGGGAGGGAGGGGAGGGGTCTGCGGAAGAGCATGACCAGTGCCTCCAGGGCCTAGCGCCTGGCGCTGACCACAGCCAGGCAGACACGTGTCCCGCCCACAGGGCGGCCTCGGGCCCTCTCCGAGTCGCTCCATTCCTTGGAGCATCTTTTTCCATTCCGGCGGCCTCAGAACACGTCCCAGACTTCGAGCCAGTTTTCCAAATGGAACTTTTCTCTCCCAGACTTTGGCAGGGCGCGCAGCACCTCCGCTGGTGGCCAGGGACAGGGGCCCCGGGAGCCATGTGACTCAGGGTTCAAAGGCAGCCCTTGCACCTCTCAGCACCTTCTCTGTGCCTCAGTTTCTCCCTGGGTAAAATGGGGTCTGAGCAGAGCCTTCCCCTCCCCCCCACCCTGGGGATGTCCACGCTCAAGTCTGAGCTCCGGATTTCATTCGGAGGGGAAATGGGTCCAGCTGGGGGCAGAGAGAGACAGTACTGGGGGAGGGCCCTGGCCTCGCACCCTGCCCACCCAGCCCTGCAGTGACCCCGGACTTGTTGAGCTTAGAACATTTGAGAAGAAGAAGAAATAAAGGTGGGTGCACTTGGCTATGTGAAGAAAAAAAAATACCCTTCTTTAACGAAATCAAGATTCTTTGTACAAATAATTGCAGTGGGGGAGCACACCCAGAATTTTCAGGAATTACTTCTTGGTGGGCTGGGGCGCATGTGGGATACTGAGGATCAAATCTGGGTTGGCCACGTGCAAGCAAATGCCCTGCCCACTGTACAGTTGCTCTGACTCCTCTTCCTTTTCCAAGTAATTGTAAAGCTTCTTGTTTAAGTTTTTGTTGATAGTTTTTCTGCTCCTAGAAACATCCCTGCTCACATAGGAAATCTGAACAGGGAGGCCAGAGAGATAGCGCAGGGTGGGGAAAGGCACTTTAGCACAGGACTAGGACAGCAGCTGCCTGAGTTCGATCCCCGGTCCCACACGCAGTACCCTGAGAACCACCAGGAGTCGCCCTTGAACACAGAACCAGGAAGAGATCATGAGCACAGCTGGATGTGGCCCCCAAACCCGAAAAAACAAAACACCGTGAGCACGACTGCAGTTGGTAAAAATGAAAAAGCTCCTATGTTCCTTGTCCTCTCGTAAAACAGTGATCGGCAATTTCATTTTTAATTGTTTTCTGGGTCACGTCAGCGGTGCTCAGGGCTTACTCTGGGCTCTAAGCTCAGGGATCACTCATGGTGAGGTTCAGGGAGCCACACAGGGTGCCAGGAATTGAACTTAGGTTGGCCGTACACAAGGCCAGCACCCTCCCCCCTGTCCTATCGCTCTGGCCCTGATCAGCAATTTGGGGGCTGCCTGTGGAAACTCACATTCCCTCTACATCTCAAGCACTACTATATATTCGTGTCTGAAACCCGCCTTTTCCGCACAAAACACCGTGTTGGGCCATGCGAATGAAAACGTGTGTGCTTGCCCTGGCTTTAGGGACACAGTTGGGGGCACTCGGGGGCCATTCCCTGCAACTTTGCTCGGCCCTCTCTCCTACAGGCGCTTAGCGGACTATGCAGTGCCTAGAGTTGAACTTGGGTCTCCCCACCTAAAAGCTGTGCCCCGGCCCCCTGAGCCCCCTCTCCGGCCCAGCAAAGTGCTCCACGGTGGGTAAACGCCTGTCTCCAGGAATCAGTCCCCAGGAACTATCCTGCGGAAACAATCCCAAAGAAAACACAAAATTATAGAAGTTCACCGATACGTTTAGGTGGACCAGTGATTTACCATAGGTGATTTGTCATCCTGAAAAAAACTGGAGACAGCTGGAATGTTTACCAGTTGGAAAATGGTGAGGTCAGTCCTAATAGGTCTATTCCCCAGACTAGGATGCGATCGTTAAATGTTTCTATAGACCACTGCATAATGCTACCTCAAAATGCTTTTTTTTTGGGGGGGGGATTAGCAGCACCAGACAGCACTCAGGGCTTACTCCTGGCTCTGTGTTCAAGGATCACTCCTGGTGGGGCTTGGGAACCATATGGAATGTCAGGGATCAAACAGGTCAGTCACATGCAAGGCAAATAAGTTCCCTACCCGCTGTACCTCCAAAACTATGTTTTAAGAGAAAGAAGCTGGCGTTACTATATTAACAGTGTGTGTGTGGAGGGGAGAGAAAGACTGGGGGAATTAGCAAAAAACTCCTTTTCTGGGGGGTCTTGTTTGGTTTTGAGGCCACACCCGGCGATGCTCAGGGGTTACTCCTGGTGGTGTTCAGGGAACCATATGGGATGCCGGAGATGGAATCCAGGTCAGCTGTGTGCAAGGCAAACGCCCTCAGCATTGACTCTCTCTCTGGCCCTGGTAAAAACCTCTTTAAGAGCAAAGTTGAGAAGTGATCTTAATTGTGGCTGCCGTGTTGGAGAGGTTGTACAGGGGTTCAAGTGCTTGCCTTGCATTACACCAATCCTTGGCGTCACATACGGTGCCCCGGGCAAGAACTGCCAGGGGCCACTCCCTAGGGCAGAATCAGGAAATGCCCCTAAGCAATGCTGGCTATGGCCCCCCAAATAAAATAAAATACACTTTCCTTTAAATTAAGAAAAAAAATAGTGAATGCTGACATCCACGGGTTAGGCAGCCCTAGAAATTTTTCCCTTGAGTGAAAATAGGAGGAGCCCAGGGCAGGCTCTGCATGTGGGAGCCCTGGATTAATCCCTGGCACTGCATGGATCCCCCAAGCACCAGTGGGAGTGCTCCCTGCCACAAGGAACAAAGAGGTAAGCGCAGCATCTGCACCCAGACCTTGCAACACACTCCCAAAAGAAAAAGTTTGAATACTGCACATCCCTACAGGAAGTAGAATGTACCAGTTCAAGGACATGATTTGGGCTCCCGGGCAGTGCCCACAGGCCTCTCCCCACAGTAGTCAGTCAACCTGACAGTGGTTCAGTTAAAAAGCCGCCAATGTGTCCATCGGTCTTGTGCTATGGTGTTCAAACTGCGGAGCCCACAGTGCTCATCAGGAGGCCAGAAGGGGCCAGGGCATGAAGCATGCAGGCATGGACCCTAACCCAGTGGAATCTCCCCTGCCCCATGAGGGCATGTTTCTCTGTGTGGCCACATACAAATTCCTCTGACCTGCTCAGTAAGAAGTCTTAACTCCGATGTTAAAATTTCAGAGTTTCAAAATCGTGCGGCCACTACTGCAGCCACGTGACATCATTATGTTATTCATAACCAGCAATAGAACACAACTGTCTGGTTAGCTTTTCAGCAGATCTGGGTGTTGGGGTAAAATTCCAAATAATAATGGTGGGTCTGGTGTCGAAATATTGAATGTGATCAAAGTAGAGAGAGATTCATGTGGAAATCATCTGCCCCACAGGTAGGGGGAGGGTGTGGGATGGGGGTATACTGGGGTTGTTGGGGGTGGAGAACGGGCACTGGTGAAGGGACGGGTGTTTCATCGTATGACCGAGACTTAGACCCGAAAGTTTTGTAACTGCTCTCAAGGTGACTCAATAAATAAAATTATAAAGTAAAGTAAAAGTAAAGGCCCTCCCGTTGATCATCGATTTGCTCGAGCGGGCCCAGTAACGTCTCCATTGGAGACTTTGTTGTTACTGTGTCTGGCATATCGAATACTCTCGGTAGCTTGCCGGGCTCTCCGAGAGGGGCGGAGGAATCGAACTCGGGTCGGCCATGTTGGCTGCGTGCAAGGCAAATGCCCTACCCGCTGTGCTATCGCTCCAGCGATATTATTATAAAAATTATAAAAAAAATTATAAAATAAAAAAATTATAAAAAATGAAAAAAAAAAGGTAAGGTGAAGTTCATGCCCAATTCAATCAGCTAATCAGTGGCTGAATAAATAGCAGTACTCCTAGATAAAAAAAAAACAAAAAAAAGAAGTCTTGACTCCGTGCATTTAAAGTGGCAGATGCGTGCCTGCCTCTCTGGGATGTGGAGTGGTAGCAGCTTTGCTTTCTCTGTGCAGATTTTGTTTGGGGGCCACACCGGGCCACGTTAAGGTTATTCCTGGCTCCGAGCTCAGGGACCACTCCTGGTGGTGCTCAGGGGGGCCATATGGGGTGCTGGGGATGGAACCTGGGTCGGCCTCATGCAAGGCAAGTGCCCTCCCTGCTGTACTATCGCTCTGGCCCCTCTCTGTGCATTTCCTCTGGGTATCTGTTTAGCGGTCAGACCCAGCAGCAGTGTGGGCTGGGGGTGGGGGGTGGGGCGACAGCCTCTTTGGGCAGTGCCAGGTGGGAGTATGTGGTGATGGGGGATCAAACTCAGCCTCTCATATGTTACAAATGTCCCCCACCTATCTCCCTTGGCCCTGATACTTGGTATTTTGTTTTATGGGGGTGGGGGGGTCTCAGAACCGTTGGCACTAAGGTTGCCCTTGGCGCTGCGTGACCATACACAGTGTCAGGGACGAATCGGGCTCGGCCTCTGCAAGTCCCTTAGCTTCTGCTCTCTCTCTCTCTCTCTCTCTCTCTCTCTCTCTCTCTCTCTCTCTCTCTCTCTCTCTCTCTCTCCCCCCTGGTCTTGCTGTTTGACGGTTTTTATACTAATTCTGGATGGTCAGAAGAAAACCCACATCAATCTTTCACATCATTATAAGGAAGCGTTTTGCAGGAAACGCGCAGAAATCTTGCTAGGTTGTGGACCTCTGCAGACAGGGCGGCTGCTTCTTTTCAACCTGGTACCGGCACTTCCCAATTTCAAACTGCAACTGTGTGATCTTTCTCATGGGGGGAAAAAAAAAGAAGCTCTAAAAAGCTGGTCTTTTTTGTAAATGGATTTAAGGTAGCTTAAAAACAAACTCCTCGAGGCTAGAGTGAGAGTGCAGCGGGGAGGGTGTTTGCCTCACACACGCCGACCCAGGTTCAATTCCCGGCATCCCATATGGTCCTCTGAGCACAGCCAGGAGTGATACATGAGTGCAGAGCCAGGAGCAGGCCCTGAGCACGGCTGGGTGTCGACTCCAAACAATACCCCTCCTAGGAGCTGGAGCAATAGCACAGCGGGTAGGGAGTTTGCCTTGCACGCGCCCGACCCGGGTTCGATTCCCAGCATCCCATATGGTCCCCTGAACACTGCCAGGCGTAACTCCTGAGTGCAGAGCCAGCAGTAACTGAGCATCACTGGGTGTGACCCAAAAAGCAAAAAAAAAAGAGGTTTCTGAGACTACAGTGGGGCCGGGCTCCTGCCCTTCCCCCTAGATTCCAGTTGTTCTACATTCTAGAAATATTCCTCCAGCCCAATAAAAAATTCTCAGATTCTTCCCTAGGCAAAAGCTGCCTTCCCAATCTGGCTAAAAGTCCTCAAAATGCCCCAAAGTAGGCAAATAGGAAAGACATATGAAATCTCACAGATAGGGATAGAGCAGGGAGGGCATTTGCCTTGCGTGCAGCCTACCCGGGTTCAAACCCCAGCATTCCATAGGATCCCCTGAGCACCTCCAGGAGTGATTCCTGAATACAGAGCCAGGAGTAACCCCTGAGCATCGCCGGGTGTGACCCCCAAAAGCCAAAAACAAATAAATAAAAATAAAAGCTCACAGATGACTCAGAGGTGGTTGCTGACTCACAGGGAGCACTGAAAGGTGAGTTATCTCAGGATGCTTTTAGGCAAACTGTTTTTTGAGAAGCTGAGATAGCTCCCCCTCTGGAGACCCCCACTCCTTGGTCTCACACTCCGTCTTGTGTCGTTGTTGTTGCTGGATTTTTTTGGGTGGAGGGGTGGGGAGAAGACACAATACCCAGTGATACCAGGGCTCACGCTTGGCCCCGTGCTCAGGGATCACACCTGGAGGTGCTCAGGGGCCCGAGCGGGACCAGAGATTGACCCGGACTTGACTGCGGGCGCAACCAGCGCTTGACCCACTGTCCTATGACTACTTGGGCCCCCCAGTCTCCGTTTTCTCCTCGGTAAAACGCGGCTGATACCCCGTCTTAGGGCCACACGGGCGAGGCCAGGGCCCGGCTGGAGTTGGAGCCCGGGACATGGGGCTGTCCTCCTCACAGCCCGCGGTCATTCTGACGGGGCAAAGGGGGCAGCCCAAGACGCCCGGGTGGGGCCGAGGCTTCGGCGGGAGGTCAGGCGTGGGACGTCCCGCGAGCCGGTGCCCGTGGTGCCGGCAGGAGGCCGTGGGGAAGGGCCGGCCCAGCGCCCCCCCGCGTACCTTTCCGCTACACTTTCTGACGGTGGTTGTGAGCTCACTGACCACCATATCCACACACTTGATACTGGGCTCTCTGAGCTTCTGCACCTGCTTTTTCACTGTGGCTTCAAAAGCGAGGTCAGGTGTGAAGAGGCCCGTCCTGCACCCGGGGAGTGGTGGGGAGGGGTGGGGGGTGAGGAGCAGCCGCGGGGCGGGCGGGGCCGGGGGGAGGAGCCAAGCAGGGGCAGGGGTGGGGCAGAGGATGGCACGGGCATGGGGGAAGAGAGAGAGAGAGACACCGACACAGAGAAAGAGAACAGAAGACACGGTGAGCATGGGCCAGGCCCTCCCTCCGACGCCGCCTCCCGGGGCTGCTGGGTGGGGGGCGGGGGGCAGCTGCCAGGGAACAAGCCTCTGGCCCGCCACACCAGCCCCCTCCCTGCGTTCAGACCCTCTCCCCACTCAACTGCCCTGAGCCCTGAGCCTGCGCTCCCCTCTCTCCAGATGCCATCTCTGACCCAGCCGGGTCCCCCAACCCCTCCCCCCACCAGGTGTTCAAATCTAGGTTCCCCGGGGGCCTCCTGCACTTGCTTTAAACTGACTCCCTACCTCTCACGCCCTCCAGCCACCCAGTTGTGAACTGCACAACTCCAGGGGCCCAGGCTGTGCACTGCACAACTCCAGGGGTCCCAGGCTTGCACTGCACAACCAGGAGACCCAGGCTGTGCACTGCCCAACTCCAAGAGACCCAGGCTGTGCACTGCCCAACTCCAGGAGACCCAGCCTGTGCACTGCACAACTCCAGGAGACCTAGCCTGTGCACTGCCCAACTCCAGGAGACCCAGCCTGTGCACTGCACAACTCCAGGAGACCTAACCTGTGCACTGCACAACTCCAGGGGGCCTCATTTGCGAGACGGAAGCAGATGCTGCCTCCTGGAGTCACAGTGCCTTGGCCTGCCCTCCGCACTCCAGCTCCCTGCCCTCCCCCTGCCCTCCTCGTCCTCCTCGGGGTGGGGGGGTGTCCTATGCCTCTCTCCCAGAGGGGTCTGGAGGGGCTAGGCTGGGAAAGACAGAGAGAGAGAAGAGGAAAGACAGGAAGAGTGGAGGTGGTGATAGACGGACGGAGCCAAGGCAGCAGTGAGGGGAGGGAGGGAAGAGGCTGGGGACTCAAACGAGCACTGGACTTGGGAGTCCGAAGCCTTGGTTTCAAGGCACAGCTCTGCCGTCTGACAGCCAGCTGTACCCACCGTGGGCCCATCGCTTCAGCAGCTGCTGTGGAATGGGAGCCCCCCCCCACCCGCCCCTCGCCCCAGGGTGGCAGGCCCGGGTGCAGCCCTGGAAGGCCAGATGTGGGTGGGAGCGCGGTGGAGGGTCCTGAGTGAGGGTGGGGTGAGGCTGGGAGGATGGAGGGCAGCGGGGAGGCGGGGAGGCCTGTGGATGTGCGTCCTGTGCTCCCCAGCCCCCAGAGCGGCCCCGGAGAAGGCCCCGCCCCCGCCTGCCTGGGACCCCCAAGAACAAACCCCCCAGGTCCCCTCGAGGCCGCTCGTCCCTGAGCTGTCCTCCTGCCGCTAATCCCTGGGTCCGCCTGGGCCTGGGGGCAAAGGGGCAAGCCCCGCCACCCTGCTGCGGCCTGGACATGCTACCGGGGAGGCATGGGGAGGGCGCTGGCAGCAGTGCAGGGCGGGCAGCGGCGGGTTACCTTCTTGGTGCACTGTCTAACGGTGCTGATTAGCTCCGAGATAACCATGTCCACACACTTGAGACACGGTTCTCGGATCTTCTTCACCTGCTTTTTCACAATGGTCTCAAAGGCCATGTCTGGGGTGAAGAGCCCGGTTCTGAATGCCCCGAGCGGGAGAAGGGCGCAGCGTTAGCGGCCGGCTGGGCACGACAGCCAGGCCAGGGCCCCTGCCGCTCCCGCTCTGCCCACGGCCTCCCACTGCCCGACTCTGGCCTCGCGTGTCCCAGTCTGTGAAATGGGCGGGGACATGGCACTTCTGCTTGCCATGGGGGGGTGGGGTGCTGGGGGGGTGGGGGGTGGGGAGGGTGGGATCAGGCGGGCCTGGACACACTCTGCTTTCTCTGGGGGTTCTGTCAGGCTGAGCATCTGTGACTGGGGATGGTTTGAAAGCCGCCAAGCTGATTTGTTCTCTCTCTGTCTTTCTCTCTGCATGTCTCTCTCTAGCTAGCTGTGGGGAGTTTCAACTGTCAGCACCGGGGGTGGCAGAGGCCCCATGGGCCCCCACCAAGCAGTCTTGGGGTGATGCAGAGCTGGTTCAAACCCCGGCTGTCACACACGTGAGGCCAACCCTGGGAGCCAACCCCACCCTGGCAGCTGCGTTCCTCACCCTGGTTCTTGCTAAGCTTCCTGGGACTCCAGCATTTGTTTTTTAAGACCACGAGAGACTTAGCTCCCCGTGTTTCGGTCAATGCAGCGACTGTCTGTAACCCCGCTGTGCCTTGTGACTGAACCCCTGGGAAAGCACTTTGGACACACTAGTGCCCAGCACTGAAGGGCCCCTGGCCACCCTGGTGGTGCAACTTTGGCTGAGAAGCGCGCTGTGGCTATCCAAATTTGAGGGGTGAGCGCCTCAGAACCACCTATCTCCTGCACCCAGGCTTGCTTGACTGGCGGGAGGCGGGAGAACGGGGCTCTGGGGGCGTCTGGAGGGGTGAGTGCCAGGCCCCTCATCCCAGCACGAACCCATCCCCAGGTCCCCGGGCCTCCCTGGGCTAGGAGCGGGGATCCTGCTCACCTGGGGAAGGGCAGGAGGGCCAAGTCCAGAGGGTATGTCCCTGCCCACCTGTGTCCTGGGTTCTGCCCAGCTGGTCTTGCTGGAGGGCAGCAGGTGCCAGGTACCCGTCTGGCTCAGGGCCCTCCACGCTGCCTCCCAGCCAATCCAGAGAGGCAGAGAGGGATGGTGAGGACTGGGGAACTAGGGCTTGGGGTCCTGCCAGAGGGGAGTCCCTTTCCTCCCTGAGCCCCTGCGCTAGGGCCCCCTGCCCCCACCTTCTGGAGTGCAGATCCCCCTCCCTGGCCCCAATACATGCCTAATGCCATGGATGTTCTTGATGGCATAGCTGATTTCTCTCCGGAGCTCCTTCTCGTCAAACTCCATCTGTGGGGGAGAGCAAGAGAAGGGGGTGGGCTGGGGGTGAAGGGGGACCCCCCCCCAGGAGGCCAAGAAACCAGGGATGTGAAGCACCAGGAGGTCAGCTTCTGTGATTTTCCCATGGAATCTCAAACTAGAAATCTTCATCTCTGCAGCTGGTTAGATGGCTCAAAAGGGGCACCCAGGGGCTGGAGCGATAGCACAGCAGGCAGGGCCTTTGCCTTGCATGTGCCAACCTGGGTTCGATTCCCAGCATCCCATGTGGTTTCCCCGAGCACCACCAGGAGTCATTTCTGAGTGCAAAGCCACGAGTAACCCCTGAGCATTGCTGAGTGTGACCCAAAAAAGGAAAAAAAAAAAGGCACCCAGGTTCCTTATGGTGTCCTGAACACTTCCAGAAGTGACCCCCGGGCACTAAGCTGGGAAGAGGCCGTGGATACTAGCCAGTGGGGGCACTCTGCCCACTCCCTCTGCCCCCATGGACCCCGCATACCTTGACCAGCTCAAAGGGGAAACGTTCGTGAAAGATCCGGTTGATGCGGGCTCCCCCCGACAGCTCATAGGTGTCGATCTGGTCCCCGGAGCCCTCGATGCGCTTCTCAAAGTCCACTGCGAACTGCTGGACCATCCTGCATGGAGAGCGCGGGGTGGGGGATGCGTGTGATAGACTGAGCTAAGCAGCAGCCCTGGGTGAGGGGTGCAGGGCGGGGGGAGGCAGGGGACAGGGATAGCGCCTTGGAGGTGGGGGCGGGCGGAGGGCCTCACTGCAGCAGGGCCTTGGTCTTGCGGCTCGGGTCGTCGGGGCGGAAGTTCTTGTACTCGTCCACCTCCTTCTCAATGGACAGCAGCTGGCTCTGTAGCTTGTTGCGCAGGCCCGGCAGGGTGTCCCGGATGTGATTGGTCAGTTGCTGGGAGTAGGTGAGACAAAGGGTTAAAAAGCCACAGGAGAAGCTGAAGCGACAGTACAGTGGGGAGGGCGTTTGTCTTGCTCAAGGCCGGCTGATCCCGGGTTCGATCCCCGGCATCCCATATGGGCCCCAGAGCACTACCTGAAGTAATTCCTGAGTGCAGAGCCAGGGGTAACCCCTGAACATCACGAGGCCACCAAAAAGGCCAAAAATGCAAAAAAAAATCAGGCCACAGGCAGGGCCAGGGCCATAGGACACAGGAAAGAGGGCACTTCCCTTGCACTCAGTCAACCCAGGTTCGATCCCGGCATCCCATATGGTCTCCTGAGCACCACCAGAAGTAATTCCTGAGTGCAGAGCCAGGAGGAATGCCTGAGCATCACTGGGTGGGCCCCCCCCCCAAAAATGTCCAGGCCCACAGGCCCAGGCAGGGCTCAGGACGCCCACTTCGGCCCTGCCCACCAGGATAAAAGTGGGCTGAGACAAGAGAGGCTTGAGGTTACTGAGCAAATGAATGAGTAAAAAAACTAATTTTTCCTGGAAGCAAGAAATCCGAGATTTTTTTTTCCTTATTTCTTTTTTGGGGGCTGGGAATGTTTAGGCCACACCTGCTACTATCCAGGGGCTCTATCAGGATCAGTGCCTGGGGCTCACTCCTGGGAGTGCTCAGGGACCATGCGGTGCCAGGTCTGGGACCTGCGTGCCCCTTTGGAGCCATCAAACGAGCCCCAGAAATCAAGATTTCTATTTTGAGATTACATGACATTTGGCTTCCGTTTTCAATACTATGAAGGTCAAGCTAAGGGAATGGGGGGCAGGGCTGGCTAGAGGCTCAGCCCCTTAAATCCGGTGGAAGATCTCCCTTATGAAATCCTCAGACTGGGCTGGGGAGATGTTCAAAGGCTGGCACTCTGCATGCAGGTGTCCCAAGTTTGATCCCTGGCACTACTAGGTCTCCTAAGCACCACCAGGTTTGATTCCCTCCCCCCAGTCCAAAATGAAATCCCCTTAATTAAGAGGCTCACTTAAAGGAGGCAGGGTCCTCCTCACTTGAGTATCTCCCTGAATCTGCACTATGATCCCATGAAAGCATTTTTTTCTTCAGTTCCTAATTTTTGAGTCACTCTCAGGGATGTTCAAGGGTTACTTATTCCTGGCTTTGCACTCAGGAATTACTCCTGGCAGTGCTCGAGAGACCATATGGAATGCCAGAGATTAAACTGGGTCCAGCGCTTGCAAGACAAATGCCCTCCCCGCTGTACTACTGCTCTGGCCCCAAAAGACCATCTTGTCACCACTGTCATTAGTGCAGAAACTGGGACTCTGAGCTGGAGGGAGTCTCAGGTGAATGACAAAAGGTTGGACACAAGGGCCCCAGGCCTACCCTTGCCCCACACTGCTCTCCTCACCGGCTCTGTCCAACTTCACACACATGCATGCACACACACATACATGGGTGCACCTCAGTTCTGGAAGCCCTGTCAATTTTAATTAAAGAATGTTTGGGGAAGTCCCTGTAATCCCCTACCTCCAATCACTTTTGCCTGGTTTGCAAGGAAATAAGGTTTTCAGCTCAGGCCTCCCCAATCCTGCCCAAGCCCGTGTCAGAACCATCCTCCGTCCTCCATCCCCCACCCCACCCCCTTCAGGACCCAGACAGCGGGTGAGCAAAGCTCTGGGCTTGGGCAGAGGTGGCACCAGGGGGACGCTAACCTTGCTGGTCACCCGCAACAAATGCCCGTCAACGATTCTGTCCTGCTGCCTTGCCCAGGCCTCCTGCTCCTGGGAGCTCCTACCTGATTGAGCACCTTCTGCAGGTAGGGGGTGCCCATGCGGTCCGCCAGGTGGCGGTAGGACGGGTGTGAGAGGAAGAACTTGCGCTCAGCCGCCAAGGCAGCCGTGATGTCCTTCTTGCCATCAATGTCCTTCTGACTCCGGTTCACCACCCCGATGTAGCCTGCCGAAGGGGTCGGAGTCAGGGTCAGGGTCAGGACCACTAGCCCGAAGGGGCGGGGCGCAGCAGAGCCGGGGTCTACCGCCAGCCGGAAGGGGCGGGCCAGGGCCGGGGCAGGGTCTATGTACCTCTGCGCAGAGGCAGCAGCTTGTTCTCCAGCACATCACGGGCGTCGGTGCCTTCGTCCATCAGGTCCAGCTTGGTGATGACCCCAATGGTGCGCTGACCTGGCGGGCAGCAGGACAGAGCTATTTACCATTGCATCAGCCCTCACAGGAGACCCCATGCACTCCCACCTACCCTTGCTGTCCCCCCTCCCGTTTTTGTTTTTGTTTTTTAATTTTGGGGCCACAACCAGCTGTGCTCAGGGTTTCTTTGGTTCTGCCCAGGGATCACTCCTGGCAGTGCTCAGGAGACCATGGGATGCCGGGGATTGAACCCGGGTCGCCTGCATGCAAGGCAGGAGCCCTACCCACTGTACTTTCTCTCCAGCCCCTATTCCCCTTAGAGGTCATGCAAAACGACCTTTAAAGACTTAAGTAAAATAATAATTAAGGCGTAAATCGGATCCCCCAATATTCGCTTAGACCCTAGGGAGGATCCCCTATGCTGAGAATATACCTCCAGAGCCTTGTGTGTTGGTCCCCTGGATACCCACCCTGGGGGTCCACCTCTTTGGCGATCTTGAGGGCATCAGAGTTGGCCAGGTCGGAGTTGGCCGGGGACACGGCCAGGATGAGGCAGTTCTCCTTGGTGACGAACTGCATCAGCATGTCCCGGATCTGAAACTCGATGTCCGGAGGTTGGTCTCCAACTGGGACCTTGGTCATTCCAGGCAGGTCCACCAAGGTCAGGTTCAGCACTGGGTAAGACGAAGAGAAGGTAGACTCAAGGCGAGGAGAATGGGAGCGTTTTAAGGTTGGGGGATGCCTAGACAGGGCCTGCAGGAGGTTGTGGGCTGAAGCAGGAGGGCACAGGGTGAGCCGCAGGGCTCTGGTGGCCCATCAGAGGAGTGGCCAGAGGCGAGCGGGATCGCAGAGTGGGGCTTGTGGTTGGATGCGCAGAGGCAGGTAGGTGGCGGGGGCGGAGTCTGAAGGAGGCGGGGTTAGGGGCGTGGCCGGAGGTGGGCGGAGTTGCACCGGTGAGGCTCAGGATTGGATGCGGCCAGGCTGTGAGGGCGGAGCCCAGGGGGAGGTACCAGAATGGGGTGGGGCCAAGGTAGTGGACCCCTCATGAGGCGGGCGGGGCTGGCCGGGCCTTACCGTGGGGCGAGTAGACGCGGAGGTTGATGGGTACCGGAGAGATGCCCTTGTTGGTGCCGGTGACCCGGTCAGTTTCAGCCTCGATTTCCAGGCGCACCTCCTCAAAGTCTGTAAATTTCTTCCCCTTGCAGTGCAGGAATTCGGCATATTCTGCTCCCCCAAATGCGGGAAAGTGGAGAGTTAAAAGTATAGACATCATAGTCCAGGAGCACTGGGTCCCCTTTTTCACTAGGAAGCCGCCCGCCCGCCCCCCCCCCCACACACACATACACACACGATGAGCCCTCCCCAGAACAAGGCTTCAAGTTTTCTGTTAAGCTTTCTTGGTTCACTTCTGTTTTGGTGGGGGATACGACCAATTCCACGCTGTCTGAGACCATGCATGCTGGGGACCTGGGGCTCTTGCCATCAGAACCATCCTTCCAGCTCCTCCAATTTACAATTTACAATTTTCAGGGGGATGCACCCCAGCCTGCTCAGGGGACCATGTGCTGCCTGAATGCAAAGCCTGTAACTAGCCTGTTGAGTTCTCTCCCACCCACAATTTCTTCTTATTTATTTGCTTTTGGGGGGGCTTGGGCAGTGAGCTCTACACTCAGTAGTGCTTAGGAGCTGCTGGTAGCTCAGTGCTTCGGGGTTGCTTCTAGTGGGAGACCATGTAGTGCTGGGGATCAAGTGTGATACATGTGCTCTAGCCCACTGAGTCATCACTCTGGCTTTTCCATGATGCATTTATTAAATATATATATATATGGTTTTGGTCCACACCCAGTATTACTCAGGGGTTATTCCTCATTCTGCACTCAGTGACTACTTCTGGGAGTACTCAGAGGGCCATATGCTGGGAATCGAACCCTGGTTGGCCATGTGCAAGGCAAACACCTTAACCCCTGCCCTATCTCTTTGACTCAACCCGGATGCAGTTTAATCCCTACTCTCCAGACGGGAAATTGAGAGCCAAGGTGTTAGAGCAAGCCAGTTGTAGGGACAAGGCTGGCCCTTTCCTCGGGATAGGGTTGAATAGCCAGGCCGGGCTGCTGGGGGACAGCACGTACCTGTAGTAGAATTAACCAGCTGCAAGACCAGGGGCCGTCGGGTGACAATGCCAGATCCACGGGGCAGGAAGTCCCTGCAGAGAGATGCAGGGGACAAGAAGTTCAAGGTCTGAAGACGCTCTCTCTGTTCCTGTCCCAGAACCCTGCCCTGCTCCGGGGAGCTGCAAAGCTCCCCCCAACATTCCAACACATCTTAGTTCAAGGGCTTCGGACCCCTCTGGCAGATGGCAGCCTAACATGGTGGGGGGACCCCATGTCCCCTGGGTCTCTGAGGCGGGTAGAGTGGAGCTGCCAGGAGACAGCCCGCAGTGCCCAGACCTCTGTGCCATGACACCTGGGTTGGTTCTGAGCCAACAGGAAGGCCCTGCCCCATCCCACCACTGCCATTCAAGCCTGGAGACACTGAAGCCCAAGGTCCAGTGTCCACAGAGCAGAGCCGAGAACCAGCAAGCTGCACATCCTTCCCTTCTGCTGTGGGGAAAGACAGGTTTCACTTCCCCTTCCTGGGACCACATTAGGCTGAGTTTGCAGATGCGGGAGCTGGGGTGAGTGGCAGTGACAGAAGGGCAAGGAAAGGAATGCAGGCTTCCCAAGTGTCCCAGCATTCCAGGCTCCTCCTGGGCACGTCCTAGGAACCCCACGCAAGAGCCCTAGGAAGTGGGGGCTAGGTTCTTCCCATTTGATGGACGGCAAGACTGAGGCACTGGGTACCCAGTCAGCTTCTAGCCTGGGTTCAGGGCTGCTTAATTCTGCTCTTCGGCACCCTGCAGACCCCATCTTTGAAGCACCTCACTGAGGGGGTCCCAAAGTCACTCCTGTCTCCCAAATCAGATGCTTATAATGTAGATGTCAGCTCACGCCAACGTCATCTCGGTGGACCTCTGACTCTCTGTGTGTATGTGTTTTGCTTTGTTTTGGGGCCACCCTGGTGATGCTCAGGGGCTACTCCTGGCTCAGTGCTCAGGGGTCTCTCCCAGTGGTGCGCAGGATCAAACCCGGGCCTCTTGCATGCTTAGCACGTGCTGCCTCCCGCCCTCTGGCTAACTTGTGGGTGCCAATTCTCTCTGCCCCGTCAGCTCTACTCATCTCTACACCCTGCGCCCCACCCAGGCCAGCGGAAAATAAGGGGAAGGTTGTTGAGCGCCCAGGCTGTCGGGAGAGGCGGGCATGAGACGTGAGAGGGCGGCCTGGAGACCCACACAGATCCCTCCACCATGGAGAAGCACAGAGAAGGATATTTCAGATGCCTTCAGGCTGCCGCACGGCCAGATAGTGGTTCTGCTGCCCCTGGCCAGAGCCGGACTCGCTCACAGAATCTCCTGCACTGCAGGCTGGAGGGCCTCCGGCACCACAGCCTGACCCAGTTCTAGTGGTTCCTGCAGTCTTGGGGAAGCCCCACCCGTCGGCTGTCCTCACCCAACCCCGCCTCTAGGGGGCGCAGCGGTGAACGGACCAATCACTATCCTGGGGAAGGAAGAGGGTGACACGTTTTCTTCACTCCTGGGTGCCAGGCCAGCACTTTTCATTTTTGCAAGACTGTGTGTCTGTACGGCAGCCTGGTATCTCTGCCCATGAGCCAGCAGCAGGTTCAGCACAAGCTGGGTCCTTCAGACACGGTGCCTGAGTGCTCAAATCCTCAAAACAGTGCTCGCAGCCACAGGGACTCAAGGGCCAGTGGCCTTGCCTGAGGTCACCCCGCGAGGGATCCCAGAGCCCCACTTCCATGCCGCGTTGTCTGCTGGGCTCTGGCGCCAGGCCCAACTGGGACCCATGGGGCTACACGAGCTTTTTTTTTTTTTTAATTCCTTTTTGTTTTTTGTTTTGGGGCCACACCCGAGAGTGCTCAGGTCTTTCTCCTGGCTCTGCACTCAGAAATTACTCCTGGAGAGGCTCCGGGAGACCCTATGGGCTGCTGGGATTTGAACCCGGGATGGTCGCAGGCAAGAAAAGCGCCCTCCCCGCTGTCCTAACACTCCGGCCCCCAGACGCAGCGTTTTATGCAACACGGCGGAGTCTGGAACACATTGGGGAGCAGCTGCTCTGTGCCAGGCCCAGAGCCGGGCCCTGGGGATGGAGGTGATGACTCAGCGGGGCCCCCACCCCTCGGAGCCGGCGGGGGAGCCTGCGAGTAAACAGATAATGCAATGCAGCGTGAGTGAGAGGCAGCTTGCGCGGGAGGAGCTCACGGGGGGGGGGGGGGGGGGGGGGGGGGCCGGGGGGGGCGCCTCTCTCTCTCCCATCCTTGGCTCACCGGCTCCTTCGGGGGTGACCTCCCCATTGTGGGGATCCCCCAAGGCTGGGGAGATGGGGCCATCTGTTCTCCCAGAAACAGGGGTGGGCGTGGGCACCTGGGGTCCACCTGCTTCCCCACCAGCTCCTCACCCGGCAACGCCATGGCAACTGCACGTTGCCGTGGAAACAGCAGGAGGGACTGGGGCTCCCCGCAGAGAGCCCCCCCACGCAGAGGCAGGGACCTTCCCTGAGCACTTCCCTAAGACCTCTTCCTTGCACCCGGGCTGGAGGGGGCGCTCAAGGGGGCAGGGGCTCAGCCGACTGGGCCCTGAGTCATCGGCCCCTGTCACTCCTGCCATTCCAAAACCCAGCAGCCCTGGGAGCGGGGCTCAGAGGACAGGATGCCATGCCAGGCCACCCTCCCCGGGGTCTGTGTGCATTTGGGGGCAGTGTCCGGTGGGGAGGCCCTGTGTCTGCCATGGCCAGGGCTCCAGGACACAGGCTGGGTGGGCATTCCCGGGCAGGGCATCGTGATGGTGCTGGGCTAGACAGAACCTTGGCGGGTACATCTGCATTTCACAGGCTCCCCCTCAAATCTCAGGATCCCTGGCTTAGCAGTTAGGTGCCAGTGGTGCTCCCCCGCCAGTGCTCCCCAACGGCCCTGGTTCAAATCCCACCACAGTAGCCCACTCTGGGGTCCTTGGGCCTCCGGCTCAGCTGGAAATGTGCGGCTCTACATGGGACACATACCACGTGTAGGGGGACACGGAGCTGTGTGTGTATGTGTGTGTGGTGTGTGGTGGTGGTGGTGGGGTCTCTGCAACCTTAGCCAGGAGGAACTCGGCCCTGCCAGGCACACAGTAGCCACCAAGAAGCCCCTCCTGGACGCCTACATCCCAGCCAGGCCCGCTCAGCTCTTGGGATTATGGACCCCAACAGGGACAAAGTGACCAGAACCAAAGCAGTGACCCCGTGGTTGCACGGTGCCTGCCGGGAACGGGGACAGGAGAGCAGGGCAGTGACCAGGGGAGGTGGCCACAGCAGTGGGCGGGGGAGAGGCAGCACCCCAGGCTGTGTCCCCACCTCCCGTTGGCATAGGTGGTGGGGTACCTGGGGGTCCTACATCGCAGGTCTGGGCTCCTGGTGCCCACCGGGGTCGGCACACAGCAAGCCTCCAAGTGGGTCACAGCACTTCCCTGCCCTGTGTCCACAGCCTGTCCCGGTGCCCCGGACTCTCCCTACTGGGGAATGTTCTGCCCCCCTACCCTGCATCCGGCCCCGTGTGAGCTGAGAGATGACAGAACAGGGGTCCGCGAAGACTAGCCGGGCCCACCATGGCTGGGGAGACCACCAGGGGCTCCCCTCATTCAGGGCAGATGGTTGTTCTCGGGCAGGCCTCACTTCACAGCTGCAGAAGCAGCTTCAAATCTGAGCACAGGGGAAAAAAACTCTCAGGAGCCCCCCAAGCCCCGCATGAGTCCCCACTTGGCATGGCCACCCCTCGGAGAAACAGGAGCTGAGGTCATGGGCCAGAGCGATAGTACAGTGGGTAGGGCGTTTGCCTTGTACGTAGCCCACCTGGGTTCAATCCCCGGCATCCCATATGATCCCCAAGCACCGCCAGGAGTAATTCCTGAGCGCAGAAACAGGAGTAACCCCCGAGCATTGCTGGGTGTGGCCCAAAAAAGAAAAAAAAAAAAGAAAGAAAAAGAGTAGCTGAGGTCAGGGATGAGTTCTCAGGGGGACACGAGGCCTGGAAGCGACACGTTGGGTGCGGGTGCCCAGTGACCATCATCCTTATAAAGCCTGCAGTGATGCAGTGAGGTGGGCCTTGGCCTGGCCATGCGCCCAACCCAGATTCCATCCCCAGCATCCCACAGGGTCCCCCAAACACTGCCCAGAGGAATTCCTGCGCACAGAACCAGGAGTGGTATCCCCTGAGCATCGCTGGATATGACCTGCCTCCCACCCCCCCCCAAAAAAAACCCCACAAAACCTAAAGTTCACTGCACCTCGCAGTGAGGTCAGAGAGGCAGGACCAGCAGCGACGGTGTGTGAGGGACACACCAAAGGGTGTCCCTCTCGGTGTGAGGGACAGTGGACAAAGGACCACACCTTGCTGGAGCTCAGTTTTCACATCAGGAAAATGGGTTAGGGGCGGCCTGCACGGGCGAAAGGCAGCTCTGTGGCTGAACCCAGGGACTTGGTGAGCAAGCTCAGGACACGGGCTGGACTCTGGGAACGTGGTCATCAAATGATGCAGTGGGAGGGCCCGGCAAGGCCCGTCTCCTGGGGGCTGGCCGGACGCGGGGGCGGGGACGCCAGGGTCTGTGGGCAGAGGGCCTCTGAGCCAGGAGCAGGGGTGTGGCGAGAGAGGGCGCAGGCCAAGAAATACAGCGGGAGGAGGTGAGGATCCTGCCAGCAACAAGACCCCCTCTGTTCCCGCTGCCCGGGAGGACGGGGCGCGGCCCGGCACCCCGCCCGAGAATGTCCAGTTGAGGCTGGGGCCATGCTGGCTGTGCCCAGCCCTGGTGTTTCTGGGAACCGGCAGAGCTTCCGTCTCAGGACGCGCCCCACGTAAACCAGGACTCACTTCCCAACGTCCTCTCCCACTTCACTGTGCACACGGGGAAACTGAGGCACACCAAGTGGGCAAGGCGTAGTGCAGGCTGGTGTCCGGCAGCTCTGGGCAGGGCCTGCAGCCTGCCACCCATGCCCCCAACTCCAACCCGTCTCCCCCTGCAGACACCCAGCCCACTCCTCCTCCCCTTCCTCTCCAGGGCGCTCCTTCTTCGGAAAATCGCGGATTTAGGGCGGAGAAGTGCAGAGATTAAGCGCTTGC